AAAAAACTTTCTAAAAAGTACAAGAAACCAAAATAGCTTTTTATGTTTTAAAAAGCTATTTTGGAGAGCACTTGCTATGAGGTGGTCAATCGGCTAATGGGAAGCTGATCATATTGTTTGAGAAAAAAAAAAGAGAAAGAAAAAGTAATTTTAATTTTTTTATATTTTTTATTAATGATGTTTAAATTTTTAAATTTTATTATTTATTTTAAAAATTAATAAATTCGTGTAAAATTATAACTAAAAGTTAAGAAAAGTGAGTATTTTATCCTATTTTATTAAATACAATAGCATTCCTTATGTGAACTTGTGTTATCGAAGAGAATTAATTTTTTAAAATTGAATAACAAGAAACATAAATAATTTTTAAATTTTTAAAACTAAAGATCATTTTTATTTTTCAAAAAAATTATAAAAAAAACTTTCTAAAAAGTAAAAGAAACCAAAATAGCTTTTTATTTTTTAAAATTTCAAAAAAAAATAAAAAAGAAATAATTTTTTAATTTTAAAAGATTGTAAAAAATTAAAAAACCAAAAATAATATTTAATTTTGTAAAAAAATTTGAAACATTACAAATAAAAAATAATGTTTTATTAAAGAAACTCTACTTTTTTCCTCTCTCTTTCCAAAGCCAAATCTAATCAACAAACTTTAGATCAGCTTCAGATAGCTAGCTTGCCATTTCTGTTATCTTCCAAATTTAAGTTATATCTATTTTTTGATGTTTTCGAATTTTTTTAAGAAATTATTTTTACTTTTCACTTATTAGAAATTTTTTTAAAAATAAAAATATTTTTGGCTTTTTTAATTTTTCAAAATTTTTAAAAAAATAAAAAAAAATATTATATTTTAAAATTTTCAAAAATTTTCAAAAAATTTAGTTTTACGATTTTTTAGAGTTTAAAAAATAAATAATTATTTTTTGTTAACACCACACCAATATCAATCAACATGGCCAACAACATTGTGAAAAAAAAAGAGAGAAAACGTGTTTTAGTAAATAGGCATAAAAGAGATGCAGCGAGAAAGGTCTCAAGGCATTGCAGGGTGGAGGAGGTGTCTCTCTTTTCAGTTTTTGTGGATAATCTAAGGGTTGGGTTTCATGGGTTTATATAAGGAAGCTTTTGATCAATTCAAAGTGGCAGTGGATGTGTTCGTTCCATAAGTATCTCAAAAACGTGTAAAAAACTTTCATTTTGTTTGGTACAAGGAAGAGAAGGAAATGATGTAGTACAACATGGTAATGGCATGTTCTTATTGGGCAAAAAATTACTGTGAAGAAAGCTTTTGTTGTAGAAAAGGCTAAAGTCGTCATCTCTAGTGTACGCCCAATTCATCATTTTGGTATTCATGGTTTTTCCAAAGTGGTATTAATGGGTGCAGGGAACAAGAATGGCCCTCTGTTGAGGAAGATTGTAGCTAGAGAGGAAGAAAAGAAATTGAGAAGAAAGACATTAAGGGTTCCATCTGAACCAAATGGAGAGTCGGCCAGAGCAAAGAAGATTGATCAGGAGCTTGCCAAGAGTGGTTTTGAGAATAAGGGGTTTTTGGCTATTAAAATTACACAGTTGGCAAATTCAGAATTAACAAACAGTTAGGGAGAGGAAAGAGTCAAGGGTGATAAAACTCGAAGGATTTGAATCCTGGTGTGTTAATTGGTATTTTAGATAGGATTTTGGTTAAAAATATTTTTTTCAAAATTAGCTAAAGATTTTGACGGAAAAGGTGGTAAGGAGGTGGATTCACCTAGATCACTACAGAAGTTGGGGATGCATTCATCTATAATGTTTGAGGCATTGATGAGAGGTAGCATCGATTCCAAAAGGCAAAGGAGAATTGCCTAACAATTAAAGAAGGAAGCATAATAAAACACACAGGCAATTCTTTACCTTTTGTTGTACATGTGAAGAGAAAGGTGCGTGTTCTTAACTCGCATTAATATATTTGCATATGAATTGTTATGACATGGATATTGTTGTCATTGTGTTGCTAAAGAATGAAAAGCCAATTTTTGTGATTTTGAGTGAGTAAACATGTTGCAGTATGTATGTATGTATGTATGTATGTATATATATATATATATGAAGAGTATATTTTGTATATATATTGTGTTTGTTGTTCTTGTAACTGTGTTGTGATTATTGTTCTTCTCATTGTGTTGTGCTTGTGTGACGATTTAGAGATTGATTTTGTCGTCATTGTGTTGTAATAGAAAGAATATATTGTTCGATTGCTGTATTGGTATATATTATACGGTTATTGTTGTGTTGTAACTGTACAGATATATTGTTCAGTTATTGTTATTTATTTATTTATTGTGATTACATTGTAGTGATTGTTGTGATTATTATCTTGTTGTGATGATTGTTTTGCTGTAATTGCAATCAGAGGCTGATGATATTCTCCTAATTGTTGGATCGCACTCACAAATGAATAAAGGGCAGTGGAGAGTTTGTGGACAATAAGTCCAAGATTGTTAATGTAAGTAATAAAAATAACCAATTTATATTTCATCATATAATTTTATTTGTTTTCATTATATGTCATTTAAAAATTTAATTACTAATTCACTTTATTTTTTTGGTAGGAAATATATGCTTATGTATTATTGTGGAAGTATGATCAATAGCTATCGCCCCAGTTGGAGTTTAATCCACAAGTGTGGTCGGAGGTTATAAAAGGAATGCAAATCACTCGAACCCATGTCGACAAGTAAATTTAATTACCAATTCATCTTATTTTTTTGATAGAAAATATATGCTTCTGCATTATTGCAGAAATACAATCAAAAGTCATCATCCCAGTTGGAGTTCAATCTGTGAGCATGGTCGAAGGCCATTGGAGAGGCGTAGATCACTCGAACCCACATCTACAGATTTGGCACCCAGGTGTCGACTGCATCACTACTTGGTGTAACTTAAATGTCCAATCCCTTCTAGCAATGCTATAGCCTCCATCGAATATGGAGTTGAGCATTACATAGATTCTCCATTGCATGGAGCCAACAGTCCATTCTAGGGTTTCATTATAGCAACCAAGTCCTTTTAGTAATGAGGAAACATGATCAGGGGATAATAGCAATAGTTAGATTGTAGGTTTATTTATTTTTATATTTTTTAATTGATTGTAATATTGAATAATACAATTTTTATTTTTATTTTTATTTTTTATAAAAATCGAATACTTTTTATAAATATTACTATTTTTTAATATTATTATTTGTATTTGTATTATTCATTTGAAATGATAACAAAAAATGAACAAAACCAATCAATTTCAATTTTCGTAAAAAAAAATTGTATTCCACTTTATTACCAAAGGAATTACCGACTAATATAGCAATTTACCAACGAAATCATGCACAATATTACTAGCATAATAAACTTCATCACCGAAGGAAACAAGGACATCATCGGCAGAAACTATAAAAAATCGAAACACTGAGTTCTATTGACAATTCTGTCACCAATTTCGTCAATAATTTATCAATGGAAGGCAATCAATACCCACCGATCATGCTTCCGACAGATTAGATGCTTTGCTAATCAAATTTTCTATGGATTATTCTATCAAAGATTTTCTAACGAAATATTTAATTATCGACAAAATGACCTTTACCAACCACGATATTTCCACCTGATTATTGATTGAATTTTCTATCGAAAATCTATCAATATTTTAAATTAAAGGCAGAATTTTTCATTCAAAATCCGTTAGTTATTTTAAATTACTGATAAAATTTTTGGTCGAAAATCCATTAGTATTTTAAATTATAGATGAAATTTGAACCTTTAGTGATAAAAATTTTTGTTTGGCAAAAGTGTTAAATTTGGTAATGAAAATGATAGTTATCAGTTTGACTAATGGTAGTTAGTCAATTATTAGTCAATGATTGAACGTAATAGAAGAACAATGGCTTATTTGATTTTTCTTAAACAGTTCAAGGGCTTTTTAAAGCATTATTCCTTTAATGTTTGTTGTTATAAATTTAAATCATTTGTAAATTATATATTATAAGATATCAAATAAATTTTTTTATTCGAGTTTGGGTTCAAGTTTTTAAATTTAATATCCATGAACATATAAAACAATTTGAATTGCATTATTAGGTAATTAACAGATTCGAATATTTAACGGATAATGTCTAGAGTATTAGAGTATGAGTATCTTTCAGAAAAAAAAATAAAGAGTAGAGATATTATTTTTGAAATTATATTCCAGTAGCTATAAGGTTCAAGTACCCTATAAATTAATAGGATTCAAGGTAAGTTACCTTGAAAATATTGAGTACCATACTTGTTAACATTCCTAATCAATTTAGAGAATATTAAAGACATATAAATTTAAATAATACTAATAAACATATAAAGAAGGAAAGAAAAATGAACAAACATAAAATGGTAAAGGATTATGTATCAACAAAAAGATTATAAATTATAATAATTTATGCCTTCTGGTTAAAAATATAGAGAAACATAATAAAAAAAAAGAAGAACAAGATTTTTACTAAAGTTAGAAAAGTATTTTTTATATTATGATTTTTTTCTCCATTCTTAATTTTTCTCTATTTTTATAAATATTCTCTAAAAAAAGATTCAAAATATAAATTTATAATTAAAAACATATACAGTTGCAATAGCATAGCAAAATAAAAAATAATGAAAAATATAAATTTGAGATTTTTAAATTAATAGTTGTGTAATAAATTAATAATATAATTACATCTGAGCATTTAACTTATTGATTGGTATATAATCCCCTACCTTAAAAGCAAGGTTCAAATCTCTCCTTTTTCAATTATTAAAAAAATTAATAATATAATTAGAGTGAATCAAAAGTGTTCTACAATAAAAGATATTTGATACAGCTAACAAAATAGTTATTTAACGTATTAAATATCCTTTGATAGGATTAAAAAAAAATATTTAAATATCTGATGCATTAGTTGGTGTATAATCTCTTACTTAAAACGTAAAATTTGAATTTTCCTTCCCTCAAATAAAAAAAAAAAAAGAAAGGCAATTAGGTTATCATTATTGAATTCAAGTATTCAATTAATAGTGTCTCTTGTATGTGCTACTATAGAATTCAACAAAAACCCTTTTTTTTTTAAAAAAAAAAAAAACCAACAGCGTTATCCCAAGACTAGAAAACAAAGAATAAGAAGGCAGGCAAAAACCTTGTTGGCCTATTTCTCTACATTCCTCTTCTTGAACTAGTAGTCTTCATCTCCTTAACTTCTAAGTTTTCAAGTGTAAGGCAAAAGGTTTAACAAAATGAAAAGAGACGCTAAAGCATGTCTTCTTTGATTTCTTTCCGTCCCCATTCCTTTCACCTTTCTCCAGAATTTGGCCTTCTGACAAATCGCCCCTGCAACATTATCAACAAACCTTCAATCCAAAAACACAAAAGAATCAGACAACGAAAGCAAAACAAAAGCAAATGTTTCATGACTACACAAAAATGCTAAGATTTTAAAGGATTTGAGATTCAATTGCCTTTAATCTTTTTACTACTTAATTAAATATTTAGATGAAATTCATTTGTAATTCTTTACATTTTTCAACAAAAGTATGTCATGTATAAAGATTACTGACTTAGCATCAAGGATTTAGAGCTAGCTTTTTTCTTTTTCTTTTTTTTTGTGTGAATCGGGAGACAACGCACTCTACAAAAAATTCCCTTTTTTCTCTAAAGTTTTCTCTAATTTCCTTACTTTCAATGTGGCTGTTAACATAATTATAAAAATTATTTAGTTAAAGTTGTAAAAAGAATACAAACTAGGTAAAATAAAATTATGAATAAGATTTCCCTTCTATATATATCAAGCAAAATATAAACTAATGGATTTGAGAACTTAATTCAGTTGGAACATTCTCCTCTTTAATTTATAATTACAACACTGTTGGAATCCAGAGCGAAGAAAGAAACGTAAATAAGGTACAAAAAAGGTCCAATACAGACACTTAAATGTAGTACAAATCCTACGATTAAATATTTTAATTGCAAAAAGAAAAACCCTTTATTTTTATTGTTAGCTATTTGACAAAGAAAAAAAAATAACAATTCATTCTTTATAATTTTTTTAATTAGAACCACCATGTCATATTTAATTAATCCTATTAAACTCACGTTCCATTTTAAATATTATATAAAAATAAATTGTATATATAAAAAAAAAAAAAAAAGAGAAACATATAAAAATAGGCCATAGGACCCAAACACAGTGACTGAGAATAGACGAAGAAGCATTACTTAGAAATTAAATCAAACCTTCATTCTGGGCCGTCGATCAGCATTGACCTTTCTGACTTGATACCTGATCTTCTTAGAGAAGAGGCGCGTACGCCGCTTCTCTTTGTAGCGAAGCACGCTAGCCTCTCTCACCCCTCCCCCGTCCGAGAATAAATCGATCTGCGCTAGCCTGGCCTGCCCCAAAAGTTCATCAAAGGAAAAAATTCAGTGCCTCGCACCCCACCTCTAATAAATAACTCTGTCGTTGTCATACATACATACATACATGTACCATTCTATTAGTTAATACTAAATATGTTCCATTTTCTTAGACTTTATATTATTTTAATATTATGATAGTTTAAATAAAATTTATATGCTCTGTTTAATAATGTCAAAAAACAATATATGAAACAAGAAGAATTGAGTATTACCCTAAAAAACTGAAAACGACACTACACCATAAGATGGTGGGCCTTCGAAAGGGAAAAGCCTAAGAAAAACAAATTCCCTTCTTTTTGAAACCTTTAAAATCTTGTGAACCGTCCGATTCGTTTAAATCAGGAAACATTTTTTTTTTTAATAAAAAGAAAAGAAAACAGAAAAGGTCAGCCCCTCACGAGAGCCGCGGATGGAAGCCTAGGCACCCCACCGACTCATTCCCATGCTAACTATATAAAACAACACCAAAATGGCACATTTGAAGCAGCAAGTAAGAAAACCACAACAGTTTGTAGTCCTGGAAATAAAACCTTATGCTGCAGAAAGTGGTCACGCTTTTATTTTGAACCATTGCTACACCCTACAGACAGACCCTTCAGGCACACTTAACAAACTATGCTGTAAAGAGTAGGGGATTTCCAAATTGCAATCATTGAAATTTTGATTTCCCAGCGGGTGATGAGAAACATACATAGACATCATTTCCAGCAACTTCAGCCCCTGGAGATTCCTCGGCGAAGGGCGAGCCACGGTCTGACCAGGCATTCACCACCTCATCGTAATTCAATTTCAATTGCAACCCTGCAATCGGATTTGGCTTCGGATTTTCTTTAGGCATGTCCGAACCCTTCGCCTCCGTCACAACAATTGGTTTCTCCACCCTCTTTTTCTTTTTCTCTGCTCTGCTGACCTTGGTCTTAGTTTTTGGTGAGATTTGTAGCACATCTACGGTAGAAAAATTCCACCAATTCCCCTCATCAACATGTCTCAACGCTCTTACTCCCCTCCTCAATCCGAACCCAAACCCAAATTCAAATCTCCCGCCAAATCCTAATCCCATGGGATTCCCATACCATGAACCAATTTGGCTGATTTGGGCACCGTGACATGTGCCATTGGACTCATCCAATGTCTCCTGATTGACGCTAAGGTTCCCCATAATGCTATCAATACCTTCCTCGATTTCCTCATCAAGAATCGATTCTGCATCGAAATCTTCCTGGAATTCAGTGCTGAATCCCATTTCCGTGGAACCACCTCCTCCATGGGAATTGACTTCTCCGCTACTACTTTGCCAGGACTTGTCACAAAAATTCACGACTTTTGGCTCAATTAGGCAACTGGGTTTTTCTCGGATGGGCTGATTCTGGAGCAAGAAACCAGAGTCGTCAATTACACGGAAGGGCAACAATAATTCAGACGATTCATTGAAGAAAGAGTCCTGAGGCTTGGTGAATTTACGTGGTTTTGTAAGGTTTTTGGAGGAAAATATATTGGGATAGGCAGTGGAGAGGAGGGCTGCAGCTCTCGTTGTAGGTTTGGTTGGGGCGTTTTCGAGGGGTTCGTGGTTTCCGAGTGGAGATCGCAAGGGGGGAATTGCTGGACTCAGAGAGAGTTGAAGAAGGTGAAGAAGATGTGTGAGAAGTTCTGGTCGAAGAGGATGGAGATTTTATTATTTCAAGGTCTAACGCATAGGTCCTGCCGCCTCCGCTTAAACACGAAGACATCTGTAGATAATAACAAGGGGAGAAACCTTGAAAGTTGTACGAGAATTCAAGTTCTACACCTCTGTGAATTCATGTGAAAAAACAAGAAATTCAATACCAAAAACCACCGACAAACAAAGCAGAAAGTGTGAATTAGCAAGCCAAAAGTAGCAAAGTTTCAAACAGGGTTGCTACAAGGCAACAAGCAGATCTAGAATAAAAACCTCGGGAATTCAAGGGAAACCCATTTGAGGAGACATCGTTCTTTGGGGGAGAAAATTCTTAAGACCCAATTGCAAAAACAGCTAAAATTTTTCACTCTTTGTTGGTTCCTGAATTGGGAAAGAAATGATGCCCCCTGGAAAAAGTGCAAAGCCCTAAACCCCCTGGAAGTACAAGAGTCAAAGGCTCCTGGATTATAAAAAGAGGAAAAAGCCAAAACCTTTATGAATTGAAGTAGTAAACATGAACACCCTAGAATACTGAACCCCAATTAAAGAAATATCTACAGGCAGAACTGAAAGGGAATATACCATACCATAATTTTTTTTTCTTTTTTTTCAAAACAGGAATCCAATTCCGAAGAAGAATTCAAAAACCCCTGAAAACCCCTCAGTGTAAACTAAACAAATAAACAGCAGAATTCTAAGCAGCAAGCATATTCTTTTTCCTTTTCCCAAGACTAATGTTTCACCTAGGAAACAAAGGGAATTACAAAACCCTAGAAGAAGCCCATATATGCAGGCTGCCTAGCTTTCGGGCAAAGGGAATGGAAAGGAGGAACAAAAATATCTAGGAGAGCGGATAGTTAGCCAGTAAGAGTAAGATTTGAGCTGAGGAAATAAAAGGGAAACAAATGAAGAGATAAAAAGAAGAAAGTCTTTTAAGCACAAGGAAGAGAAGGAGGAGCAGAGTGGGTCACGAGGAGGAAACAGAAAAAGGGCAAGAAAGGTCCGTTAGATATAAATGGCAGGAGCTCTGCTCTGCCTCTGCCTCTGCCTCGCTCTCTTTTTTCTTTTTCGGTTTTTGGAGTTTGGACTGTGACTTATACTGAAGAGATAGACAACAGAGGAAAAGACAATGCTAGTTTTCTCTGGGGACCGTTCATTGTCTTTCTTTCTCTCATTCTCTCTCCATCCCCATTACCTGCCTGCCTAGGTAGTTCAATTATTTTGTATTGCTCTTTTACTATACTGACCTTCCTCCCCATTCTCTTCTTTTGGTACCACTTGCTCAACGTAAAAGTTGAAGACTAAGTAGTGGAAACCTGAATGTCATCTAGAGCAATATTTTCAACGGCATATTGCCAATTAGAACATCATAAATGACCTGAATATGAAAATTTAATGTCAAACCCATCTTTAAAAATGATAATATTTTATGAAATGCATATTTATAGAATCTAATTGGATGTTTAATGACCAATTTATTTCAACACAATGATGCAATAATTAAAGACATTAACGAATAAGATATTCATTATTTTTTAAATATCTTAATTCAAATTTTATTATTTTGTGAAATTCTCAAACAACAAAAATATTTAATTAAATTTTTAAATTTCTGTTCAAACCCTTGCCATAATATCCCAAATACTGCTCCTTTAAACTCTTTTTTTTATGTATATTATTAATAATAATTAAATTAATAATTTAAAATTAATTCATAAAAAATAAATTTAAATTTAAAATTATGTTTAGAATAATTAATAAATATTACATTAATGATATAAAATTTATAAATAAAATATACAAAATCAAATTTTAATATTAAAAATTATTATTTGTAATTAGGTACAGATAGTAGTTTTATTACTTGAATTCTATTCGAATTTAATTATAACTAATATTACTTAATCGGGTCAAGTAATGCATCTTATTATAAAGTATCCATTGACATTCATAATAATGTTTTTCTTTTTTTTTTTGGACCATACTTTGGTCATCGACGGTAATTTTTATTTATAGGAAATAAAATAAGCACGGGTGATAAAAGAATTGTGGCATTTCTGATATTCCAACGACGAAACATAGGGCATTTGAGTAACCCAACCTCGTAATCCTCATGATGGGGCAATGTTGGATGGACCGGGTTGGATTGATCCAGGTATGCCACCCATACCTCCTGCAACATTCTTTGGAGATTTATGGGAAGGGTTTCTTATCTGCTGAGATGGCACCATCTCATTGGCCTCTCTGGATTTTTTTAGGGCTGAGGTGGCATTGCCTTTCGTGGTTGGATGACTTTCACGTGTCTCAGGGGAAGGGGTTAGGGTTGTTGGACATCTCACAAACGCAATGATTGATTGAACCCTTTTGGTGTCTTTTGCCGTTTTTTGTGTGGCAGATGCCAATCAAACGTTGGGCTTATTACCTTCATTGGCTTCTGATTACAAAAATCGAACCATTTTAATGAGTTTTGCAAATCTGCCCCTGCATTTTTGTTTAACTCATTACTTCTGCCCTGTACATTAATCTAATCCCCTTTTCTTTCATCCTTATCAACATCTACGGATCTACTGTGCTGGCTTGGGTATGATTGAAAGAAAATTAAACCAATATAAACAATTTCTTATTTTCCCTTCTCACTATCAAAAGCAAGTACCTTTTGCCATAATTTTTCAACTTTCGTATATATATAGTAGACCTGACAATTTATATTTTCATGTATAAGTTATTAACAATTATATAGATAAATATATATACAAATACGAATATGACACAATTAATTACTCTTGTTAGAATATTAAGCACGTATACAAATACATTGAATAAACATACAACACGATACAATGCAACTAATACATTTATTTCATGTATCAGGTTAAATTTTATACTTCATGATATGATTTGTTTACAAGAATAACACAATTGAAATTTATATGATCTAAAATTGTTTACATGAGCCATTCAAAAAAAAAAGTTGTTTACACGATTAACACACAATTAGAATGATTAAATTAAAATATGTACAATTAATATATAATTTTATTATTCAAATTTATAATAAAAATTATATATTATTCAAATGTAATAAATTCAACATCAATAAATCTTAGTCATTATAAAAATATTAGTATTAATATAGATCAATAAATAGGTCTTTAACTATATAAGTGCTAAACATGTTTACACGACAAGTGAAAACGATTAAATAAATAAGTAATTAACTAGTCACAAGTTATACAGATATAGGATAACACGATTAACTAATCGTATCTTAAATGGATTGAGCAGGTTTGACACAATTAAGATAAGAATCATTTGTGTCTTAACCATGTTGACACGATTAATACACAACTAATTTAAATCCAAACTTACTTAAATCTGTATTGTTATGTCATATACAAAATTATCAAGTTCAATTTACAAGCATATCCCCTTGTAATTCCTTGGTTTAGCCTTAGCTAACAGTACCAAATTATTGTCCTTTTGCCTATTTGGGTTGAAAGAAAAAGAAAGGTCCATATATCTAACAAGAAAGAAAACAAAGCAATTGGTTTTTTTTTTTTAATAATTGAGAGACAAGGGATTCGAACTTTATTTTTCAAATAGGGAGATCATATATTAATTAATGAGCTAAATACTCGAATACAAACAAAGTAACTGGTTGTTAAATAATAATGATAAAAGAAATTTTCTTAATAGAAAGCAAATAATATTGACGTTCCTTAGAAATTATAGAAAAAAGTAACTATACTAATTCTTAACGTAATTATTTGGAAAATATTTTCCAAGTGAAAAGCTGAGTTTGAAAATCTTTTGGGATAAAAAGGTAGTTTCAAAGAATGTTTGGGTCCCTAGTATAAATAGTCATAAGTTCCCTATTATCATGCTAATAGTTAATACCAAACAAATAAAATAAAAAAAGAAAAAATCAGGATGTCATCCAATTATCAATAGCTTGCACTTTCTAGTTCTCAGGAGTCAAAGCTCTTTTTGTTCTTAAGATATTTTACTAAATATCCACCTATTTAGACATTTGGCACATATAGATATTAACTTCTTTAAAAATAAAAATACAGATATTTAAAACTAAAATATCCATATATATACTTCTTTATTGCTTCAACAAATATCTCCCTTGTCCGTCGATTTACAAGCATAACCTGGAACTTTTCTAGACTTTTATATTAAAAAATTAATTTTCATAAAAGATATTTAAAATTAATTTTAAATTTGGACTCTACTAAAAAAATGAAAAAAATAAATAAATAAAAATGTGTTTGTATATATATTGTAAAAAAATTAAAAAGATAGATAAATTATTCTTCCTCTCTCATTAAAACATAGATATTAAAATTACATTCTTTATTATATAACATCAAGATAACTGAAACAGAATCAATAAATTAGTCAAGATTCTTATTTTTCCTATCACTGATTTGATTTAATTATAAAAAACTGTTTTATTTTGCATCTTACATATTAGAGATAAGGTAATTTGACAAAAGTAGAGGACAATATATATATATATATATATATTTGAAGAAGGAATTTGACAAAGGCATATCCGTTTGGACCTTTTCTTTATGGCCACAAAGCGTGTCCTCAAATTGTATTCATTCACAACGATTGACAACACCTTATCTGTTCCAAAGGATGAGTTGGAAATGTCATGACCTTTAGATTTGGATAACCTCTGGCAGATGGGTTTTAACTTTGAATACTAGAAATTTCACAGACACATGTGACTCATTCTTCTCCACACCAATAAGCCTCTTTGTTTGGTTATCATGTTCTATCTGTTAACATTGCATGATGGGCCATAGAGAAAATTTTCAGATCTTAAGATTTCAAAGGCCCTCATTGTCATTCTCATCAGCATGACTTAATTTTTTTTTTTTTTATAATTGAAAGAGGGAGATTTGAACTCTCTTCTTTAAATAGAAAGATCATGCACTAATTAATTAGGTAAATGCTCAGATGTCAGCATGACCTAATCTTATTAATCCAATTATTCTTAGACACATGGTTGATTCTTAAACTGTTTGATGAATATAAATTTTCGACACAAGAAAATAGAATTTTTTCCCACAGAATTGATTTCATTGAAAATAATATTACCTTTAAGAACAAGTTTTTGATGAAAATTATTTTCTATTTTCCATATGTATTTTCAGTAAAATTTTTTGACAGATCTAATTCTATCAAAAACACATTTGGTGTCAAATCAATTTAAATGGCATGAAATTTTGTTGAAAATTTTCATTGAAAATATCCCATGTAACATTATCGATCGATTTTCGATAAAAATTTAATTGAAATATATTGATAAGGAAAAAAAATAATTTTTTTGTCATATTTGTAAAATTTTTTTAATGGAAATTTATTGGAAAAAAGACCTGAAAAGAAGATTAAACTAAAAACTAATTGTGAAGATAACGATGATCACGAGCTTTAGCATGAAGATCATGTGCTTCATGCTATCTCATAAATTGTTGTGTTTTATCTTATACTATTTTAATCTAGTTAATATTATGCTTGTTATTACCCATGCTTGGTATTATTGGATGATTTCTCGATTTGCTTTGAAATTTTCTAATTAACTTTTATATTTTGTTACGCTATTTATATTACAGTTACGATGGTTTATTCGAAACCAAAATGTAAATGTAGAGTTGCATCGATCCCTCGCCATTTGCTCGTGGAGGCACACTTCAGTCAATCCATCCATTGAGCCAGCGATGAATCCACCCATGGAGGCATCTTCTTTGGTTGATCCATCCACTGAGCCATTGGTGAATGTGACTTTGGCCCCCGTTTTCCAGAGGATCCATGGACACGAATATAGGGGGCGATGGAGATGGCACGTCAACAAGGATGTGTATTAGAGGGCTCAGTCTACAATCACCGACACCAACAAAGCCGGACCAGGAGTTGCATTTGACACCTCTTAGAGAGACAGAGAGAGAGAGAGAGAGGTAAGTTAACTAGTTTAATAATGAGATAGCTTAATAAATTATATATTTTACTATCTAACAATATTAGTTTTGATAATTTTGTATAGGAAAAGATAGTACAGCACGAGTTTAAATGGATTTGGGTTTAGACTAATTATATTTTATGTATTAATCATGTAAACACGGTTAAGATACAAATAAATCATATCTAAACCATGTCAAATTCACTTATAATTAATTAATTAATCATATTATCATGTACTCGTATAACCTTGATCTATTTATTACTATTTATTTAATCATGTTAGTACACGGTTAAAAATCATTTATTGATTCATATAAAAATTAAAATTTTTACCATGATTAAGATTTATTGATATTGAATTTTATTATATTTGGTAAATATTATGATATTTATAATTTGTTCTTGTACATTTGAATAATAGAATCATATTTTACTTGTACACATTTTAATCGTATAGATCGTGTAAATAGATCATAAGTCATATAAATTTTGATTGTGTTGATCGTGTTGTGTTGTACAAAATTTAACTCGACATATTTTATTAAATGTGTTAACCGTATCGTGTTACACGTTTACTAAATACGTGTTTAAGATTTTAACACAATTAATTAATTATATTATATTTAAATTTACTCGTATAATTAATAATACTCTATGACACTAATTGCCCCGTTTATCTAACATGTATACTTTTATTGTGTGATAGTAATTTTTTTGGAGACAAGAGTCAACACCACAATTATTAGAATAATGAAAAACACTTTGACGGCCCCATGGTTGATGTGGAGGAAAGTTCTGGATGATGTCAAGGAGTTTTGCGATGCTAAGTGTGCTGTTGAATTAATGCATAATTGTTTGTTTTCATCCATATGCGTGAAGATAATGATTTGTTTACCCTAATATTTTATGTTAGGATAAGTTCATGTGGTCCATAGCAAAGGCTTCTGTGGTTCGACTAATATGGGAAAGGATTTGCAAAGGAAAGTGTAGGTCGTGGATTAAACAGATATTTGGGATGCCTTTATTGATAATAAATGAAATATTTATCAATGACAAAATAAATCCAAGAAAGTAAGCAAAAACCTCTTAATGTATGGGAAAAACAAAAAGCATTACAAAGCGCACAAACGGTTCATTTCCTTCTTTTGTTCATACAAAGAAGATGGTATGAATTATTTTCACTAAATTTCTAAAAAAAGCTTAATCGATTACAGTGCTTTATATTAGTAATTCTTAAGGAAGTTTTAATTAAATTTTATTATATTAATAATTAGCTCGATGTTTCTTTGAGTGTTATTGTAAATGAATGCAATTAGTTTAATTAAAACGACCAATTACATTTTTTAAAGTGTTAAATCGCACACATAAACGTTTAGCAAAATATAATAATTTTGTGGATATCAAATCAAAATATATTAATGTATATGATTTTTTGATTGATATATGCTTTAATTCCTGACGATGGTTACTTTAAATAAATAGTTTTTCCCTTGCTCAAGTATGTAAATGATAATATTTTAAACTAGTTGTAAAAAAATCTTGCAATGACGTCATCTTCAAACCTAATATAATCATTTTACAAGAAATTAGTTGCAGCGTTTTATAATTACTGTTGATGGATTTTGGTTACAAAATGATTCTATTAGGGTTGAAGATGTAACACATTATGGACGGAATTTTGTTCTTAAAACACATGGTTTTCGAAAAATTTTCTACAGAATTTTGATGATTTTTTGACAGATTTTGGACAAAATTTCTATGATTTCCAACGGATTTTGGGTAAAATCAAAATTGAGTAAAGAGGAGGAAACTTAAGGCTGATATTTATATATAAAATATGCATATCAATTTTATCTGCTACTGAATTGGGTGTAAAGCCTAATTCTATTTAATTTCTTACCATCTTAACCTTTTTAAATTCTGTAGAGATGAACTCCAATTTTATTCAACTAAATATTACAAACCACACTTACAATTAGTTTAAGTCTTTCTTAAAAGTCTTTTACTAAATAACTTTATCCAAAAGTTTCAACTCCCAGGAGTAACCTTTAATCTTTAATTTACACTTAGGTTTAATTAATTAAGTAGGGTATGTTGAAAATGTAACTTAACAATCATTAAAATGATAATGAGACACCTATGCCTAGCATCTAGTCGCTCTCTAGATGGAAGCACTCGATATTCCTCAAAAGAGGTATCGATGTCTATGGTACAGTTAAGCCCCCTTACTTTCTTTTTAAAAGCTCTTCACACGTTTTGACTTCCTGTTTCAATTTAAACTTCTACATGACTATGATTTCAACTAGAATTACTCGAATGAATTGAAAATAACATTATTTCATAATTTTGGATAAAATTGATGACTTTTTCTAAATACATGTTTATATATGAAATATGGTTTATAAAAAAACTTTTCCCTTCAACTTACTCCTTTGTCCATGTTTGCTCATTAAGTGTTTATAACTCACACGTGTAAATTCTATTTTGTTTTCAGATTCTTGAGTTAGCTTAGATCGTGGTTTTGAAGGGATCCTCAAGTCTTGCTTTTGGTAGGTATACCTAGAGGCCTTTCATGAAGCCTTCCTGTATCATGTCATGTTCTGCTGACGACTCTGCTTTTGCTTATGTTTATTGCAGTGATTCAGATTGAGGTAATGTCTCAAAGGAGGAAGTCTACAGCTGACAAAAGATATAATACTATCCCACGCAGACATGATTCAACTCGCAACGCTTTCCATTTGAGCCACTCAGAAAGTTGATCAAACACAAACTACGATCCTGCACAGGTATGATTCAACTGGGAATGCTTAATTTCCATGGATGTATACTCATTTGAGCCAGTCAGAAAGTCGAACCATTAAATCCAAAATATGAGCGCTGCACCGAGAAAAAAAATGAATATTAAAGTGAGTTACTGAAAGGTGATAGATGTATTACAAGAAAATTATGCCATTGTTCTTCCACTTGTTTAATTTTTGCATGCTGAGAAAAAAAAATGGGAAAAAAGAAGAAGAAAACACTCAGGGTTTACAGGAGGTTCTAAGTTTCTAACAAACTGATGCAGAGAAAAGGCATAGTCGTGCTTCAGCACCAAGAAAACCACTAGTAACTCCATCCACCAAAAAGTAGAGTCATTTCATGTATATTATGGATTACCAAGATATAAATCCAAGTCCAATTTAGATTAAATTGCATTGCTAGGTTCCACTAGCCTGACGGTAAATTATAGTTCTTTAGACCTAGCTTCCATAAACACAGATATTGCAGATAGATGCACATTTGCACATATAGATGAACAAGCATGCAACTAGACAGATACTTTGCACCTTGAACTAGCATGTGACCCTATTGGCATTTATAGAATTATATGTTGAAGTTTTGCAATAATTCAACATCAGTAAAGTCGAAATATCCTGTTTCTTTGCAAAGGTTCAGCTAGCATACTTCACCCTCAGATGAAGCTAGAAAAAGAAATCGAAATTGCAAGTGTACAAGGTTCCAGTCTTGAGTTGCCTTGGTTTGTTTGTTCACAGGACCTTGTTATCCATCCAGTCAAGAAAGTATAAGATATTATGTCCCTCCTCTGGCTCATCAATCTTATATGTCTGCTACAACTCAGCCCTCTCAAATAAACTTGTGCGCATGAAATTAGCTATACCGTGAAAAATTATCACTTGTTATTTCTAACATCCTTAAGAAAGGAGACAGCACTAACATTTGCAAACCTATCAAGTATTAGATAAAGGAGAAATATGATGCCTAATTACCGAGTCCTAAAGCGAAAATATCCCAGCAAAAATCCACAACTAAGTAAGCTGGATTCATTGTTCACTCAAATTAATTTTTGGACAGCAAAATCATCATTTAAAAGCTAACTAAAATGGTCACTTTAAACTGACTACAGGTCCAAAGTGCATCTCACTAATGGCAAATACGTAATTGCTTATTTCTCTACATTTTGTGCTTTAAAATGGAGATTCCATTACTCCACTTTTTGAATTTTAATTATGAACAATGGTCAAAATATAAGCATCTTAAATGAAAGACAATAAAATTCTCAGAATCACTTGAAATGACTAAAACAGAAGGTAGAAATATCTTCAGGCTAGTGATTTACAAGGTATTGACCTTGTTCTCATCAGTAGAATACATTTTATTTTCCTCCCTAAACATTCATGCATTATGGAGAATAGAATTAAACCATAGAAGAAGCCTCTCCAAAAGCTAAAGAGCATAGTTTGCTTGTAAGCTTCCATAGAATATAATAAAAAGGGTGATATACAACAATTGGCTTATCTTTGCCTCCCTATAAAATTAAAGGGTATGCAACAATAATATTTTGGCTAGGATTGAATTCAAAACAAGTTAATGTAATTTGGGTGTGAATTATTACATGAAACAAGTATATGCTTGGCTAAATGTATTTATTTCCATAAAAAATATTCTAAATTCAACACAAATATTAATATTAAATCAAACAGAAAATCTCTTTTTGAAAAGAAAAATAACTAAAAACTACTCTCTCATAATTGCAAGGTTCATTCGAATATGAAATCCAATCTGGGAAATACAGAGTCCTACATTTTTTCTTCTCTATACCACCCAGGCCCTTGATTGAGAAATTTATACTATAATGTTCCAAAACAACCATTTTTCTTCTTCTTAATGATTTTCAATAAAAGAGAAAAATAATCCATCAACACTACTTTAAAGGATATGACAATGAGATTTTCAACAATGTCTCAAAGTAAAACAAAGGGAAAAAAGGGAAAAAATGAAAGAGTAAAAGTGAAGCAAATAGACCTGAACATCGTAGAATTTGATGTAGAAGCGAGAAGCATCAATTGAAAGCTTGGTTTGAAGAATATCAGCAATAGTTGAACTCAATTTGGAATTGACAGAAGGCCCAAGGCCCCCAATAGAAATCAATTCTCCGTAAGCAGCCGGGGCTTCCGTCCCAGCAAATGCCATTGGTACTCCGCCATTAACCAGAATCATCACATACTGGTAACCCATGTTAATGCAACAAAAGGGGTACTTAAAATAAAGCCAGTACAGAACAGAAAATGATTTTGAGAGACAGAGAAAAGTAAGAACTAACGGATTCAGGTTTGCCAATGGTTTTGGCAACAGCTTTGGTGGCGTCCTTGAGGATGTCAGAGGTTGTTACTGCGTCCACCGGTACGTTGGTGTATATTTCAAGGTAGGCATTTTCTTCTTCTTCCAGTGCTAGCGGCTCGAGATGAAACGGGTGGTTTGTAAGAGAGTATCTGCTTTCCCTCTTATCGCCCTTATTACACATTTGACATCAATTTATAATTAAATTACCAATCTTCGTATCCGAAACTTAGGTGGCGTATGGTAAGTTTATCTGTTTTGTCTTTTTTTTCTTCTGAGTATTTTTATTTGCTGTTTTTTAAAAAAAAAATAAAAATAAATCATGTTTAGTGATATTCCTGTTATAAAAAACTTTTAAAAATAAAACTATAAAAATATGTTTGGTAATATCATATATTTGTTTTTGTTATATACTAACTTAAACAAAATATAACAAAACGAAAAAACAATTAAACCATATAAATCATCCCATATGCAAAATACTATTCAAAACTTGCACCAAGAAGTAAGAATATAATTCAAAGAAAAAAGTGGCAATTAAAATAATGACTTTCAAAAGTAACATTTAATCCAATCATTTGATATGAACACTCGTCCAAATCTGATTTGCAATATCATCTCTCACACGGGCCATTTGACGAAGTCGACCCCAAGATATATCTTGTCAACGAGATTTGTGAACTGCTACAACCTAGAATAAAAATTAACGAACAATATAAATCTCCATATTTGACATAGATTGTTGCCTCCTAGCTTAGTTTGACCATATGACTGATATTGAAGCTGTTAACAATACTTCGATCTTTCTTAACTCTCAAAAACATTTTTATCAATGCTCCTATGTAACTAATACTTTTGCTATCCAAAATTTCCAGTTTCGTATATGTCTTAAATGTTAGACCTAACATGGAAACGTGAACATAGCTATCATAACTCATAGAGAAAATGACATGAAAAAAGAAGAAGCATTGTTTTATCTGGCTGCCTCAAGTCTCTAAAAACAATAAATCAAATTCGAAAGATAGATTAAAGTCAAAAAGAAAAAGAGAGGAAAAGGAAAGAAAAAGGAAACTCACTTGAGGTGTATCAAATTTGAAAAAACTCATGGAAAAGTAAACAAATTAGATAAAAAAATAAAAAATGATTTAGGTTGTGGTCGTTGGAAGAGAGAAAGAGAAACAAAGAAATAGAAAGGTGGTTTGGTGTTGGTCTAATTGGGGATAAGGTTATTCAACATGTTTTTTTTTTTGTTTTGAAAACAAAAACAAAAATGTAAAACACTTTTTCGTGTTTGTGTTTTTTCTACTAATTTCAAAACATGTTTTTAAAAAAGAAAAACAAAAACAGGTTACCAAACATGTTTTTGTTAGTGTTTCTCTAATTCTACAAGCAAAAAAAAAAAAAAAAAAAAAAAAAAAAAAAAAAAAAAAACAACAAACACTTGCATTACCTAATAAATCATAATTCAATTTTTTAATTTTCATTCTTTTAAGTAAAGGCATAAAACTAAAAAAGGTTTTCAAATCAGTTAAGAAAATTTTTATAAATTTTTATTTTTTTATTAAGATCAATCAAACCTTTTTATTTAAATTAAATAAGTCCTTATGATCATTTTATGTTATGAGGCGTATTGATGTGTCATAATAGATGATGATGTGACATGATAACATGATTTTGTGGTATTTTTCATTTTACACGTTAGCGTTATGTCAACGCGACATAAGTATAAAATGACTAATAACAATTAATCAACTGTTAGTTATAATATCTTATTTAATCAAAATAAAAAGTATAAAGACTTGATTTAATGTAATAGAAAAATAAGAGTTTATTTGATTTTTCTTAATAATTAAGAAACTTTTTTAAACATTATACCTTAAGTAAATACATTATTTCCAAATTTTATTAGTCAATTGAGTCATATGACAAGAACAATCCAATAGGAGTTAAACATATGAAATACTATCCAATGATGTATCATGTAATTGATTGACATAATTAATTTGAAGTATAAATTATTTAACAAAAGTAAAATTTGGATACCTAATTATAAACTTTTAGACTTTAGATACAAATCAAACATTCATCATAACTGGGATGCCAGAGTATAATTCACTCTTCATACTAATTTACATCTTAATATATCATTTGCCTAACCTAAAAGTCATCAAGTTAAGATAAAAAATGTACGAAAGGAATTAATTACAAAAAAAGGTCTTTAGTTTAAGTCATACAAAAGAGGATATAAGAAAAAGAAAAAGAAAAAAAAATGTTCTTTGGACTGTATTAGAATGGTCAAAATACCCAATCAATTCCTGCACTCATGCATTTTCTTTAATTTAAACATTTTACTCAAAATCGCAACAATTTAATCCCTTGATTTTGAGAATTGCTTCAATTTAATCATTCTCTTAACAACATCCAATTTGGCCATTAAAGGTGATAACATTAACACTGATGTGATGCTAACGTGGCATATTTCGATGACAGATGTGTGACCAACATGCTGATGTGGCATTGCCATGTCACCCAAATCTACTAAAAATGGCAGTGCCATGTGGCATTGCCACGTGGTAGACCTAAAAAAAAATATCTCACTAAGAAAAATTAGAAGGACTAAATTGAAGAAAAAGTTTATGGTACGGAGACTTAATTGAATAAAAATTCAGTGTATGAGGACTAAATTGAAACAAAAAAAATATTATGGTAATTAAAGAAATGCCAGGTGGCATATTTAGTCAAATGGCATTATAGGGGATTATTTGACTTTTGGATTTCATTTCTACTAAACCGTCGATAAGTAAGCTTAAGCAATGGATTAACCTTAAACCCACCGCTATCATCACCAATGCTGTTAATCTTTAAAATTTCAACCACTTGAAATTGAGAGACAATGATAAACCGATAGTGAAACCACTTAAACCCTAAACCAAGAGTAAAAAATAAAACCACTAGAATATTGAAACTTAAGAAAAAACTTTCTCCTTTTCTGACCACTTGAAAGCTTGAAACTGATAAACATTGAAAGCATCCAAGCTTTCAAGCTTGAATTCAGGGGCACTTGACAAGCTTGAAAGCTGAAACCTAGAAAGCTGATGGCTGAGAGCTCTAAAGAAGGAAGATAATTGAGAGGAGGAAGGGAAAACAAAAAGGAAAAGTTTACCGGCCTGGAAGAGCGAGTTACAATTTCATTTTGTTGCTGTTGAATAGTATTATGTTGTGTTTTTAATGTTGGTCAAGATTAGGTTTTGTCTTTTTCATTTTTTATTGATGTTGATGTATTTGTTTGTAGTATTAGGTTGTATTTTTAATGCATGTTGATTTGGCTTTGGTTTTTTAATTTGTTATTATTGTTGATGTATTAGATAAGACAAACAAAACATAGAAAGACAGTAATGCACCAAGATTCTCCTTAATTCAGTTCAAAACTTTGGCAGGTTAGATGAGCTTATGCGAGTATTTTAACCAGTTAACAATAAATCATGTCATATCTCATTTTCTAGAGGGATTGTGATATGTGCATGAACTAATGTGGGTATAGCACACTAAGCCTAAGTAAGCTTATACCAATAATGCATGGACTAGTCATCCATCGTATTCACAACATTTCCATTCACAATTAAGGATAATGTAAATAAACCACCAATGTCCACCATATTACAGAACTTCTCAATGTAAATGTGGTTTCTATCATATTTCATATAAATATGTTCAATGTCATAACAACTGTGGTTTGGCATTCATCCCCGTACTTATATTATTATGATCCATCCACCACAGTCTTATCATTCACGTGCATCTATATCTAGGGCTCAACACAATGTGTGGAAGCATAAATAAATATGAGTATAGAAACATTATTTACATAATCAAGTTCATCATCAACATGAAAATTCAAGGACTAGACTTGATAGATTGCGGAGTATATGATATTAGAAGGTTAGAAATAAGGCACTATCACACCTACCACAAATGAGCTAGGTTACTACTCCACAAGTTACCTAGTCAAACAAGCTGCTGATCTATAAAACAAAATAGGAGAAAATAACGAGTGAGTCACAAAGATACTGTGAGTGAATATAGGGAAGGTGACAAGTCAAGGAAGAGAGTTTTTGTAATAAACCATACTTTATAAAAACACATGATATTCATATAAATCATTCTAGTAACAATAATCTCATTTCAACATTTCCATAAATGCATTTGAAACTCAAATTACATAAAAAGGAATCAACATATAAAGCTTAACTTACAAAATATTTTCAAATAGAAATTGAAATGGAGTTTTCAGATTCATGCGTTCAACATCTTTCAGTTATAACATGAATGTATCAACCAATCATAATTCACATCCTCATTCACATAAGCACAATAATCATCAAATCACCAATCATAGGCGTTACAATATGCATTATATGACAAAGATATCAAATCATAATGTCAACAAGATAAGGGAAGAATGGGTAGTTTTGCTCAATTTATCTTTGTGGTATTCTTACCCTTACATTGAGCTTAAGTTAAAAAAAAAGTGGTACGCTTTTCTAACTTGACAATGTGGTATTTTTACCTTCACATCGAAATTCATAAGGGAAAAGATGGCATGTTCGCCAATTTTAACCATATGGTATTCTTACCCCTACATCTAGCTTTTATATAGGGAGGAGATGGCACGTTCAACAATCTTGACCCTATGGTATTTTAACCTTCACACTAGGCTTAGATCAACATATCACACAATTAAACATTCACATAAGATTCTACCAAGATCAAACATCAAAATGCAAATCATGACATTCACATGTATCTTGAAATGGTGGAAACCTATTCATCCACATTCACATTTCTCACACCTTGTGAGCATTATGTCATCCACATTCATATTCATTTGGGTGGATTTCTATTATCCCACCTGGGCCTTTATTTAGCCATGCACTAATCATGCAACATACATCCAATCGAGAAGTATTTGATAGAAAACATTTAAAAGGGCTTGTCCTCTTTTGTTGAAAACTAATATGTAATAGAGATATTTACCAACATAATAGATTCGAAAACCTTGACAAAATCATTTGTGCACAACCAATAAGATTTATTAACTTTTTCACAACATTTGAATTATGCAAAAAAAAAAAAAACCAATTGATAAATCATGTTAACTTTATCGTATGATACACTTAAAAAGGT